TTGTTTTCCTCTATTTCTTTGCAATGATCGCTGAGAAAGGCTTTTTTATCTCTCCTTGCTATTCTTTGGAACTCTGCATTCAAATGGGTATATCTTTCCTTTCCTCCTTTGCCTTTAGCGTCTCTTCTTTTCTCAGCTATTTGTAAGGCCTCCTCAGACAACCATTTTGCCTTTTTGCATTTCTTTTTCTTAGGGATGGACTGCCTCCTGTACAATGTCATGAACCTCTATCCATAGTTTTTCAGGCACTCTCTCAGTTCTGTGTGTGGCCTTCTGTATGTGGCTTGACTTTGAGGACTTGTGGGTGACCTCCTAGTTAAGGCTGAGGCTCATTCTCAGACACATTTAGAAACTAGAGAGTCAGTTTGGGACATCACCCAATGGGTTGTGAAAGACTTCTCCAGTTTCAGGAGACAGGCCAAAAGAGCCTTCTTGACTCAGATGTGACTTTTCTGGAGAGATTTTTATGAACGTATCTTTTGGGAGTTGCCTCTTGGAGGCCAGCCATGTGGTATTTTCAAAAGGCTACTCTGTTGCTCTGGCCCTCTATTCACAATCTGGCCATTTTCCAAGCACTTGCTACATTTCTATGCAGACATTTCTAAACTCTGGCTCAGTTCATGCTGATTCACTCAATGTCTTAAAGAAAGTGGAGTTCCAAGAATAAAATGGTACTAGGCACTGGCTGCCAATGCACAATAAGAAACTGGCCCAGGCCATGGATCCTCAAGCAGAACAGCGTTTAAGTCACTCAGTCCTTCTTAACATGTTATTTCATTAAAAGCCCTGCCCTCACCATAGCTTGAGGACTTAGGCCTCTTCTAAGCCAGAGTCAGAGGTGTTGAGTTCTTGGGTCATGGGAGTCTTCCAGTATGCCTAGCCCTCTTCCTGTATTTCTGTTCCAAGACTGGCTTCTCTACTCTCTGGTCTGCTGAGTGGTGACAGTCCTCACCCCACTTACTCACATCTGTAATCCTGAGGGTTTTCTGATTATCTCCTTTAGCTGGTGTTTATGCTTCTTTGTCAGCTGTAGGTGTCCTGCGATGGGCTCCTTATCTGATACTTGTTCTGCATCCCTCACACATTAAGACTACAGAGGGCAGCCACTCAACCCAAGAGCTCCCCAGTTGCTCACTAAGGCCCAGGAATCTGACGCTTCCCAGGGACCCAACGCTCTGGCAAAATTAGGAGAGAGAAGCTCAGTAAGAGAAACACTGTGAACTGGAGGTGACTGGTGCCTCTTCTGGTCTGTTTCTGGTCCCACCTCTCTGAAGCTGCACCCAGATCACAGAAGGTGTTTCCATGATGATGACATACAACCCTAAACTCTTGTTTCTGTATCATGTCCAGGTCCTCACACCCCCATCCCTAATTCAGTGCTCAGATGTCTATGTGCAATGAGGCAGAACACGAAGAAGTGGGGCTACAAAGGTCCTGGGGAAGGAGCGGCCAGGGTGCTTTTGACAGGAGGCAGAGGGCCTCTGAGGTCAGGAACTATGAGCCTATGGTCCAAGGCTGTGTAGCATCTGAGAGGTCAAGGATTGGGGATTTAATGTGACTTGGGAACATGAGTGGGAGGCCCATGAGCGGAAGCCCAGAGGTTCATGGAGACATAAAAAGCAGAGATCTAGGACTAGCTAGTGGGGAATTAAGGTGGGGGAGAGAAAAGCTCATCCTAAGGAAGGCCTTCTCCATTGTAGAGCAGTCCTAGAATAGGCCACCAGGCCCTGGATACATGCGGGCAGACTCCTGATCATTCCTGCAAGCAATCTGTCCAGAGGGCTCAGACACTGAGTCGGGTGAGGAAAGAGGCTCTTTGTAAATGTTTTAAATCTTAGTTACGTATCACATAGTTGGAAAAGTCAAATATTTCTCTAAGGCTGTATCACAAAAGATAGTGACTCCCTCCTCCTTTTCCCACTGCCTGCTCTCAGAGGAAATCACTCCCAAGCTGGGCTTTTCCATCCCTGAGCGCTTCCAGGTCACAGTTCATCTCTGAAGTCCTGCCATCTTCCCCTCAGCTCTGTGTTTCTGTATTTGTCTCCTGTTTGCAGAAGGGATTCTATCAGTCACCGTCACTTAACACAAGATGTGCCTCATGGCAGCTGTCCCTCATCCATTTGTGTTGCCTGGACTTCTTTTGGGGGGGTTCCTGGGTGACTCAGTGGTAAAGGATCTGCCTGCCAATGCAGGAGATGCAAGAGATACGAATTTGATCCGAGTCAGGAAGATCCCCCGAAGAAGGAAATGGCAACCCACTCCAGCATTTTTGCCTGGGGAATTCTCCTGTAGTGACCTCCAAAACAATCCTTTGCTGGTTTCTTTTCCTTATCTCATCTTGGAATTGAGTTTTTCCTGTATCAGATTTGCACAAGATATTTGTGTCAGGGAGAATCGGGGCTGTGAGTGTCAGTGCTGTATTCTAGGCTTGCATAGATTTTGTGGTGATTCAAGTTTTTATATGTAATCGTTTTTCTCATCTTGAAAGAATAAATGTCACACTATGTATATGAGAGGTCATAAAGGTAGGGCATTAAGAGCACTAGGGGAACTTCGCTGGTTGTCCAGGGTTAAAGACTTTACCTTCCAATGAGGGAGATGTGGGTTTCACTGCTGGTAGGGGAGGTCAGATCCCACATGCCTCCAGCCAAAAACAAAAACAAAAACAAAAAACAGAATATAAACAACAGAAGCAACATTGTAACAAATTCAATAAAGACTTAAAAAAAAAAAAAAAAAGAACACTAGGAAGTAGGGCCAGTGTATTACTAAGTCTCAGTGGATGAAGTAGACACACCACCATCTCAGAGGTCCTCTGTGTACCTGAGCCTGAGCTGCAATTAGAGGTGGGCGAACCAGATGTGGCCATATCCCTGAGACCCACCCAGGGGTTCACTTTGATCCTCAATTTTAATCCTTGCTTTTCTTCATAGTCTTACTCCCTTTGCACCGTATCCTGAAAGGGCTGGCTTTACATGCCCTGGACAGTCTCTGTCCATGACCTTGTGCCTGTGTCTTCCTCCCAGGAAGTTAGGATTAGGAAGTTAGGATTCCGCCTCAACCAAGAGGTCAGTCTGTCCAGACAAGCCTTTTTGGTGTTGCCTTTCTTATGATCAGACACTAAACTCCGGGGAAAAAACAGTGCTCTCAATGTGGTTTTACACCCAATCTATTTTGATGCCTCCTGAATAAGCAAAAGCCCCAGAAATTTTTGTTCCTTCACTTACCACCTGTCATAGCAGTCACATGTAAGAGACCCTAGAAATAAGAGGCATAGCGTTATCCTTTACATTTAATTAGCTCCACATTTTTTATTAAAGCAACATTAAAGAACTGACCTGCTGACCCATTTATCCAGCCTGCAGGGTAGGAAAAGCTCTAAAATCTAAAAATGAAGTTCAACCTTTTAGAGGTTAATTTTGTATATGCAAAATGTACGGAGTATAAATAAAATGTTTTATTAAAAAAAAACATTTTAGAGTTTGTACACTTTACAGGGTGACTCAGAAGGTCTGGCTATGTCATGGTGCTCAGGCCTCTGGGAAAGGTCATGTGTGAAGTAGTTCTGTATCAAACCCCTCGAAACGTTACTTCTCTTCATTCTGATATTGCTGGTTACTGTAATAATTTCACCAGGTCAAGCAGTCATGTCTTCAGCAGATGGCTTCTGCTTTCCTGCCAGGCTTGCCTGAAGACCCATTTTAAGCTAAGAGCCAGAAACTGCATGTCCAACAAAGGATCCTCTCAAAGCCAGGATGGGAAGGACTGGATTGTATACTCAGCAAAGGACACTACAAGAAAGACTCATGGGTACATGATTCTTAGCATCAGCTAACATTACCTGTAAAACTGTCCCAGGGAACTGAGTGAGAGCTTCTAGGACTCTGAGTTCAGAACAAAAGCAAGTGAATCATGACTGTGTGCCTGGGACACTGACCTGTCTGTGTTTCAGGAATCCACGGAGATGGACACATCGTTGCATCATGTGTTGGCACTGCCTTGCCTTCAGGGTGCAGGGGAACAGAATCACATCTTCTGGCAAGGACCCTCACTCTGTCTGATGAACTCCATGAGTAGACATGCCTGTGCTATGGAGGGGAAGGAAACAAAGACAGGGATAGTCCAGAGTGCCTTGCCCCCAGCCCCCACCCCACAAGATGACAGATGCCTGGCTCATGCCTGAGAGAGGCCGGCAGCTGCCACTCCAGGATCCTCCTCAGCTTCATTCCTGCCTAAAAGTGGGCTTGGCATCAAGAAGAAACTGTAAGAGATTTCTCTGGTGGTCCAGCAGCCAAGACTAAGCTAAGTTCTTCCAATATAGGGGGTACAGGTTCAATCCCTGATTGGAGAATTAAGGTCCTATGTGCTGGGAGTAGCCCCCCCAAAAAATCTATATGTCTGTGGTGATAGTTACACAACTCTGTAAATATACCAAAGTCACTGAACTGTGCAAGTAAAGCATGAGAATTATAACTCAATTAAAAAATTATTTTTTAAAAAAAGAGGAAACCGTACGTTTTGGCCCTAGTGTGGCCAGACAGGACAATTCACTTACTCCCAGCCCTCAGGGCCTGCCCTTTTCCTAGGGACAGGCAGTAAGGCAGAGAAGACATTTGAGAGTCAGGCTGAAAACCAGTGAGGTGGATCCAGGAGCCAGCTGGGATCTAGGCCAGAGGGGCTGAGTGTGTGGAACCTGAGTGACGACTCCTAAGTTCATGACCCAGCTCTGCCACAAACTGGCTGTGGCCTCGCTGCCTTTCTATAGAATAATGGTAAGAGAGCCTCTTCCCTTGCCTTGTAACCTTCAATGAATTAATATGTTCAAAAAACTAAGAATAGCCTTACGAGTGCCCATGGTGTTAGCTGTCATTTTCATCCAGAGACCTCGAGGAAGATTGTTGCTTGAGCTCTGGTGACCACTGTCCATCTCAGCCCCAAACTGAAGGTCAAATGAGATCATGGGAAAGTGCTTCACCCAGGGCCACTTGACAACATAGGAGAGACTCATGAAGTCACTATAGCAAGTTTCTGTAGCTTCCCTAAAACAATGGTGTGCCCTTCCCCTTGCAGTGCTATGCTCCTGTCTCCTGCTGGAGGGAGCCCTCTGTGGGCCCCTCCCTGCTGAAGAACCTGACATTCCTAACTAGGTTTTTGTCTCCAGTTCTTTAGGGCAGGAGCAGGGTGGGCAAGCAAATGGCTGTCGGCAAGCTCCACTCCATATTGTTAGGCCTGAGGGTGAAGTCTGGGCCATAGGATGAAAGTGGGTCCCAGTCCTCACGGAGAGAGCTAGTAATATTTGCCTGGCACATTGATAAACATTCCCTATAACTGAGGCCTATGTCAGAAGTGCTCTATTGCCTATCATTGGAGGCTTATAAAACAACAATGTCCCCTACTACCATTTACATTTTACTACCCTTTGAAACGGGCTTCCCTGGTGGCTCAGACAGTAAGCCACCTGCAGTGCAAGAGACCCAGGTTCCATCCCTAGGTTGGGAAGATCTTCTGGAGAAGGGAATCCCCACTCCAGTATCCCTGCATGGAGAATTCCATGGACAGAGGAGCCTGGTGGGCTATAGTTCATGGGATTGCAAAGGGTTGGATACAACTGAGCGACTAACACTTTCACTTATGGGTTTTCCAGGTAGCGGTGGTGGTAAAGAACCTGCCTCCTAATGCAGAAGACATAAGAGATGGCAACCCACTCCAGTATTCTTGCCTGGGAAATCCCATGGACAGAGGAGCCTGTCAGGCTGTCAGGGGAATATTTATCAACCCTGTCCATAGGGTCGCAAAGAGTTGTACACAACTGAAGTGACTTAGTACACACGCACCACTTGAAATAACATTTTAGTGAATATCCTTGTCAATAATAATAATAAAAATTCTCTGAGCATGCCCCCCCACCCCCGTTTTTTTTGGCTGTACTGGGTCTTGGTTGCTGCGCGTGTATTTTCTCTAGTTACAGTGTGTGTGCTTCTCACTGTGGCAGCTTCTCTTGTTGCAGAGCATGGGCTCCAGGGCGCTCAGGCGTCAGTCGCTGTGGCACACAAGCTCTGCAGCTGCAGCATGCAGGCCCTGAGCGCAGGCTCTGTAGTTATGGTGCATGGGCTTAGTTGCCCTGAGGCATGTGGAATTTTCCCAGACCACGGACTGAACCTATGTCTCCTGCATTAACAGACTCTTAACTACTGGACTACCAGGGAAGACCCTTAAGTGTTTCTTAAAGTAAGTTTTTAGTAATAGAAGTAATGGGTTAGTGTAATAATTTTAACACATATGGCCACAAATTGGCATTCCTGTTTCCTGAGCCCTTACCAAAAACACATTTCATAGTTTTGGGGTTTTCTACATTTTATTTTTTGGCCACACCAAGAGGCATGTGGAATCTTAGTTCCCCAACCAGGGATTGAACCCACACCCCCTGAATTGGAAGCACATGGAATCTTAACCTCTGGACCCCAAGGGAAGTCCCCAAACACATTTCATAGTCTATATATCTATATATCTCTGCCAGTTTCACAGATGAAAAATTATCTCTTAAGTATAAAAGTTCCTGTAAAAGTATATTGGTTGGTTATTGCCAGAATACTATGTACAAACAGCCACAAAGTTTCCACGGTGTAAAAAACTTTGTTCCACATTTATGCACCCATGGGGTGGCTGGACTTCAGCCAACACGGTATGCTCAGGTCTGCTCCCTGGGTCTCTAATTCTTCTGGGACCAATGACAACCCACATACATTTTTCTGCTGCAGAAAGAGCATACATTCTGTGTGCTGCAGAAACACAGGAGAAAAAGTCTCTGCTCACATCATAACCACAAGAGTTTCAAAACAAGTCCCTGCCAAGCCCAGTGTCAAGGGACAGGAAGTCCATGCCACTCACCATGATGTCATGGTGGCTGATGACATCAGCATTTCCCTACTGCAGGAAAATGAAGCATCCAGACTAGTAATTCCACTGGAACTGTGAAGCTGAACACTACCTTACATGCTTATTAGTGGTATTCCTTACTTCGGAGTATTATTTTGGAGTGCCTTGGACCAAGGGGCAGGTTTAGCTATAATGATCAGCAAAGGTGGGTCATGCAGGAGGAAGTTTTCAAAGCCAGGAGAACTGCAAGGGGCCGGTGTGAGCAGGACAGGGAAAGTCAGGAACAGGGATGGGGTGGGGGGAAAGTTCAAGGTGACACGCTCCAATATGTGGGGAGAGCAGATACGGATTCAGAGCAGCAATAGGGTGATCCCTTCTTAGGCTCCTGCAGTAAACCCTCAACTTTAAGGTTGTGAATCATTTTTTTGTGGACAAGGGCTTCAAAGAAGAGCGAAGGTGAGGTAAACTGGAAAGCTTGGAGATGTGAGTGAGAGGGAGATGCTGAAATGGGTATTACCGGTGGTGGGCTTCGTTAGTTCAGCCTCTTAACCGCCGTAACTAAGCCCACTTCCCCAACAAGCTCTTCCTGCCCTTCATGGTCACAGGCGGCACCACAGTTCCACACACCATTTACCCAGAACAAAACTCGCCCAAACCACACACCCGTCCCCCGTACCAAATCTCCGGATAAGGTCAACACTGAGCCAGGCTGCCCCCTCCCTGACACAAGGACCGGCCCTCAGGAGGCTCCGCAAACTTTGCTCAGAGCACCCCATGAATGTTACTACAGTTTTGGTTTCGGAGACAAGAAGAGGCCAGAGTACCCGTGAGAAGATGAGGGAAACAGAAGACACGCTAGGTGAACCCAAAATTTTCACTAACCAACAAGGAGGGCTGCGGGGGAGGCGCGGGGCCCTCTGAAGAAACTGTTTTCCCTGCAGTCTCAGCCTAAGTTACCTGTGCGGGTCTCCATGCCTGAGGTTGCCTGCTCTCAGGAAAGTGAGCCTCTCTATATACAATGGCTACCTACTATCACCATGGGAACACCATGGGCGGGGCTGCGAAGCCGTCATTGTGACTCTCCCAGATCGGAGCCTCGGATTGGTCGGTAGGGTGCGGGGCGGGGCCGGCTGGGGATGGGCTGAGAGCCTGGAAGCACCAGGTGGGTAGTGGATTTAAGGCTCAGGTAGAAACCTCATTTCTGGGGCCTGGCAAAGTCATAGAGGTAGATGTTTGACCCTTCTCGTCACTTTAAGGGACCTCCAGAGGAATAAAAATATCCTGCTGGCCGCTCCTGATCCCCCACACCCCCGCAGAGAAACTTTTTTCTGTAGGACACGTGAAACTGAGAAGCAGAGAGCCAAAAACAACCACAGATATTGTTAATCTTTCTCTCAGCCTTCCCCAAAAAGATTAAAAGCTGTTTGCCAGCGTCATTACAGTGCAATGGGTAAAGATGATCATACTTTTCAGAAATTACTGCATATTGGTTCTGAAGTAATTTCTGAAGATCACCATTTCTGAATGAAGTTTTAGCTTCGGTCCATCTTACAGTGGATCCCTGAGGTCACCGTATGGTTATTTGCCCAGTTGCAGAATTGGAATAGACATACTTGGCAACTGACAATTCGCACATTGGTTCCCTGATCTATGGACCGAGGGCTGTTATCGTAGGAAAGGCCAGGTGGAAGCCACTAGAACAGCCTCTACCAGAACAGTTAACAAAACAAAAAATGAAACACTGTTCCTGGAGGGATTGCAGAGATTAGTGCCACCATCAAGGATCTGAAGGATACTGGAGTGGCGGTGATTCCCACCCACAAACCCATTCAACTCACTCTTTTGGCATATGTGAAAGACAGGTAGATCTTGGAGAATGACAGTGAACTGGGTTGTTTAGGGATTTAACAAGGAACACAATTGCAATATTGGTGACAGTGAGGTTTGGGGAAGAAGTATGTGGATCTGCTTCTCTGAATAGGCAAAACAAAAACCGAACCATTTGTGTCTTGTGTGAATGCTCACCCAAGTGTGATTTCAGCAGAGGAGAATTTTAATAATCAAGAGGATAGGATGATCCCTTCTGTGGTTACCATTCAGCCTCTTTCCTCAGCCACCCTGTCATCACCCAATGGGCTCATGAGCAAAGTGGCCACAGTGCCAAGTTGATTCTGCTGGACAGCTTACATCATGGAAGAAAAATCACCTTTGATCTTACTGGAATAGACACTTAGTCTGAGTATGGACTCTCCTTTCAAAGAAGGTTCTTGCTGTGCCACCATGGCAGTTCAAAGATGGCCATGAATTTTTTGGATCTTCTCCCATACTGAAGTGGGGTCTATGTCCCCTCCCCTTAAGTCTGTCAGGCTCTTCAACTGGTTTGACCAATAGAATATAGAGGAAGTGATGCTAGGCCAATTTGGGGCTCAGGATTTTAGAAGCTTCCACTTTATGTCTCTCAGAACACTCAGCCTTGGGGCTCTCAGCTGCCAGGTAAGAATTTCTGCTACCTTTCTGAGGATACCATATTGAGAGTCCATGAAACTCTATAGAGAGAGAACTTGCTGAGCCCAGCTTCTGGTCATAACAAAAGCATCAGACACACAAATGAAGCTATCATGGGCCCCAGATCACCCCAGTAACTAGCTGAAAACTGAGTAACCCCAGTGCACACACTCATGAAGCAAGAAAAGTGGCCACCTTGGGAATTCCCTGGTGATCCAGTGGTTAGGACTCAGCATTTTCACTGCCCAAAAGTGAAAGTCATTCAGTGGTCTTCAACTCTTTGTGGCCCCATGGACTATACAGTCCATGAAATTCTCCAGGCCAGAATACTGTAGTGGGTAGCCTTTCCCTTCTCCAGGGGATCTTCCCAACCCAGGGATCAAACCCAGGTCTCCCACACTGCAGGCAGATTCTTTACCAGCTGAGCCACAAGGGAAGCCCAAGTACTTGGTATTATTACCAGGTTAGAGGTGGGGGGATCCTGAAAGGGAGGGAAGGCACTTCTGCAGGTGCAGAGGGTTCATGGAAATCTGAGTACAATTATCTGCTCAGATGTCCCCGTGCTAAGTCTCAGGGAACTTCTGTCTCAACGAGGGAAGGGAAACTTGCTAAGGCTGAGAGTTCCTCGTTTGCTCCAGGTCTAATTAAACCGTGGGTCCAGTTCTCAGCGTTTTCAGTGCTCTAGCAGCAGGAAAAAGTGTCTCTTTAAACACAGCATGGAAAGCTTCTGACTCTGACATTTTACTACCTGTTGGTGATGAGTCATACTTAGCTTCTCATTGTCTTTTCCTAGTCAGTGGTCTCAACAGCAGCCATCCCATTCCAGACCTTATAATTAGTCCTCTCAGAAGCCAGAAATAACGTCTCAGAAGCCTGAGATACTGTGTCTCCAGTGCATTTTTTTTCTCCCATCCCAATTTACCACCAGCGAAAGAGTTAACAATGTCACCTATTCTCAGCATGCCATGGGCATCAACACATCCCCACCATCAGTGATGGGGGGATCGGGGTGGGAGGTTTTCACTAGGCAACAACTCAGCAATGAAACTCCAGAATCCCATTTAGGGTCCCACCTATCTTGACCCATCCTTGAACCGACTGCCTTAGGTCAAGATCCCTGGGGAAGGCTGAACTGGCCATGTGCATGCAGGAAGTTTATTGGTGAGTGTTCTTGGGAACAATATCCATGAGACATGGTTGAAAGTAGGATGGGCAGAGGAGGAGTGACCCAGGACACCAGAGACCTCATTCAAGCCCACAGAGAAGCTCTGGAGCCTGGCTGGCTGGTCAGGGATGTCCTGCCTTGAGGCAAGGGAGCTTTTTTGCCAGTGCATTGCCTTGCTGTGTCACTGGAGGTGGACTGCCCCCAGGGAGGGATTGTGGCCTTGGGCCAAAGGCAGTTCCTGGAGCAGGACTCAGCTGAGAGTCAACAACAGCCACTACTTGAATGGTAGCTAGCAATGAGCAGCAACTTGAAGCAAGACCTTAGTTCCCTGACCAAAGATCAAACCCTGGTTGCAGGACTTCCCCGGCGGTGTGGTGGTTAGGAATCTACCTGCCAATGCAGGGGACACAGTTTTGATTGCTAATCTGGGAAGATCCCACGTGCCCCAGAGTAACTAAGTACATGTACCACAACTACTGAGTCTGTATTCTAGAGCTTGGGAGCCAGAGCTACTGAAGCCTGCATGCTAGAGCCCGTGCTCTATAACAAGAGAAGCCACCTCAATGAGAAAGCCACTCACCACAACTAGAGAGTAGCCCCTGCTCACTGCAACAAGAAAAAGGCCACGCATAGCAATGAAGATCCAGCATAGCCAGAAATAAATAGTTGGGGAAAAAAAAAAAAACCCTAGTTGTGGTGGTGAGAGTGTCAAATTCTAACCACTAGACCATAGAGCCAGTTGCTAGAGTTTGGGTCCTGGTTCTTGTCTCCCTCGAAAAGAAAAAATTCTGACAAGGAGACAGAGATAGAGAGGAAAGCATGCCACAGTGTGCAAGTTAAGTGTTTAGTAGAAAAGCAGAGTATGTGCAGACGCACTGGTGAGTCAGCATGAGAGTTGAGACATTGGGAAGTTTAAATCCTTTCAAGCGGGGGCAATTTTCCAAATCTTTGCTTTCCCTCTGGCCAGTTGTCTTGCTTTGACCCCATGGCTGATTTGCCTCAGGACCCTCCCCTATGTGTGCACACACGTTTCAGCCAAGATGGATTTTAGTGCAAAGGCTTGGGGGAGGAGGAGGTTGACATGACTCATGGTCTGTCGCCCTCTGCCTTTTGACACACCCCTGCAGGAGACTTTTCCAAACATGTGTAGTATATCTCTTGCCCCAATGGTGGGGAATATGTAACCTCTTGAGCTTTTAGTCAGACAGAGTTTAGCCCCTCTCTGTCAGACATGGGTTCAATCCCTGGGTCAGGAAGATCCCTAGTGTAGGAAATGGCAACCCACTCTAGGATTCTCACCTGGAGAATACCATGGACAGAGGAGCCTGACAGGGTACAGTCCATGCGGTCCCAGAGTAACTGGGTAACTGAGCATGTATGCACGTCCCTGCCTTAACTGTTAACTTAAAGAATCCACAGGAAACGAAGACCAGCTATTTACCCTGTTCTTGCTAATTCTATCTCTAAGTGCAGGCAGAAGGCTGGTCATAAATATCTACCCTGGAGCCCACTTGCCTCTTATCCCTGGAAATGTAACCAGGAGGCTAGTTGTAAATACCCAGCCTGGAGCCCATCTATCTCCTGCCTCAATCCTGCCCTGCAGTCCTCCACAGTCCATCATACCACATGCTTCTGAATGTCCCTTCCAGCACATTCCACCCTGGACTGCACAATACTGTGGGCACACCTCCAATTCCAAATGCCATGAGGGCCAGGCTGACTGCCAGCACTGGAGATGTGGACAAGAGAAGGGGACAGGCAGTCGGCCTGAGCATATTGTGAGTTTGAAGAGGCATCTGACAGCCTGGAGCAAACACTGGGTGTTGGGGAGAAGCTGGAGAGGGGGTGGAATAGGCAGGGAGTGATCAAGCAGGCAGGGAAATGCTGCAGCTGGAGCTGAGGAGCTGGGCATGATTGGGGAGGAAGGAGGAAGCCCCGGGAGGTTTCCAGCAGGGACCAGGTGTAGTTAGAGCAATGCTTGAGAAAACTCCATCTGATGTGGAGGGGAGAGCGGCCAAGCAAGTCTGGGAAAGGATAAGGTGTGGGAGGAGGGTAAGTCCCCAGGGCAACGAGGGGACAGAGGAGAGAGACAACTAGTGGCAGCCAGCCTAGAAACTGGATGGAGGGTGAGGCAGCAGTACAGTTTTGCACCCAGATCAGCCAGAAAGACCAGAAGAGCAAGAGTAGGAGGCAGATCAGAGGTGGGTAGAAGCACGAATTTCCTGGGGCTGTGCAAGGTGCCCAAAGGACTGCTTTCACAACCTCCAGGAGCCTCAGAATGAGGAAGCAGGAATGCACAAGGGAGAAAGGAATGTGAGAGGAGCAGCACCTGGGGAGGCCAAAGCAGGGCTGGGGGAGGGCACCCACCGGGCTTT